AAACAGCTTTATACTCACTGGTCTTAACCAATATTCCCACAAGGCTACACAAGAACTCTCCTCAATTCTTTTCTGAAACAAATTAACAGTATAATGTAAACACACTATTGACACCTTAATCACACCTGCAAATAATTAAATGGATTAAAACAAAGAAGAGGACAATGTTTTGCTAGAAGCAAATAGTGAAATGTTTTCCTCTGATATCACTCACAAACTACTGGCAAGGAAACAGTTTCACTGGCAGGTGTCATCAGGGATGTCAAAAGTAGCTGGCTGCCGGTGAAAATCGCTGCCAACTTGGTAAGTATCGGCCATCTACTCTGCTTAGCATTAACCTGAGATCAGGCCCAATTTGAGCGGTTCTCATGCATTCTCTCTAATGGCCACTGCTGAAATTGGTTTCGCCTTGCCCGCCGAAATGTAATTTTCAAAGCGAAACGAAAATAGAGCCTGATCTCAGGTTAGCTTAGCATTTCTTTATGGATGGCATTTTTTTAAAAAAACATTCCTGGACTGGCCCCTTACTTTGACAACTCAGCCGTCTACTTCAAAACTTCCTGACAACCCTGTGTCATGTGAGTGTAAAGAAGCTAACTGGAGAATGTATGTTCTTGAGAAAACAGGACTACTGAGAGTTGATGGTGGGAGGAGGGGGGGTGGAGAGAAGGTGGGGTGGAGTATAATATTAAACAAACTTTCTTCAATGGGAAGCAAAGATATATACTGTATACCGTAAATATTTTTAAGACCCATACGTATACAGAACCCCACAACACTCCACAAGACTAAAAATAAATTTGTACCTTTCTAATTAATAGAGGAAGATAATATTAATGTTTGCACTTCAAAACGTCAAAGAGGTTATGTGTATCAACAGGGTAAATAATTTTGTGAGAATATGTCAACAGTGTATTGCCTACACGATTGATTTAATTTGCTAGCATGTATTTTGTACGTACTCAAAGTATACAAATGCAAATTATCATCAAAGGCTTGTGAGAGGTTGTTTGTACTGGCGTAATTTTTGTGCGCTTACCTAAGAGAAAACGTATCAGATATGCAAAATTAACCAAGCTTGTTCGTTCAAGATGGCTGCACTTTGGCCTCGTTCTGTTTAAGTTTTTCTATGGACCGAGACGAAAAACAGCCAAAAGGGAACTTGGCTAATATACAGCGATCTTGACAAACTTAGCTCTAAAGCTTAAGAACTCGAAATTTCTCGCACTACTGACCAAGCAAACACAGAATTGCTGTCTAATATCTTCTGTTTGCTCTGTCGTTAACCGCTCTAAACCACGTTCCTCAAACAGCAGGCTCAACCAACCACTGAATTCATCTTCCGGAACTTCTTGATACTTCGTATACTTCACTACAATAACCAAAAAATGTAAAGTTAAAAACGTTAGACGAAAGTCGTATTATGCATGCTATGAACATGTGATGACCGGTGCTTAAAAACACCGGGCAATTTTAAGCTCAATTAGTTACGTTCACTTACCTATAGAAGACTTCTTAAAAGAGGAGGAAATGTTCTGTCTTAATAACTTTAAAATATGCTCTCCTTTCCCATCGTTTTGCCTGTATTTGTCAAAGAAGTGACTAACTCTTTCTAGAAGAGACATGTTTCCCGTTACGTCACAGGATTTGCTGGGGTTTTCCTGAGGCCAATGTTGGCAAATGTTGGCAGGCTATTGTTACCCATTATTGGCACAGGCTCTTGTCTGGTGGTTCCCAGTCCTTTTTGAGGGAAAGGATATTGACGTCGCAGGAAGCTGAAGCGGTGAGATAATGAACGGTGAGTTTGATCTTCGATATAGCAATAAGAGGCAATTGGAGGCGGAAGAAGATTCTGGAACGAATTCTGACTTAACAGAAAAGTATTCGAGCGATGTTCGACAGATCCCCATGGTAAGAAATACTAGTAGGTAATTTTTTGTGTTTTAAGTGCAAGTCACCCGCGCGAACTAACCATCTTGTCACAAATTCAAGGTCACTTCAACGAAACGTATAAAAAACATTGAAAAGGAACACGAAAATACTGTCAGCCGTTCTTCTTCAAAACCTCTGGAATGTCCTTCATCTCAGTTTCCATATCTTCATACTCAGGTGTGTTGTTAACGATTACCGATTTAACTTCATAGATTGATTTGTTTGCAGATTTTGACTGTTGATAACAAGCAGACCATCCTCTGTTTGTGACAATCGGAGCATCGATCTTTTGTTCTTTATGCAGCTATCGATATGTGTAGCCGGCTAGGGGGCCGGGGAGGCAGGGCATGGGGTGGGGATTTGACATTTTTCACAAATATGCTGACAAATTGCCTCCACGAGGGCAAATCATTCCAGTCAAATAATGCACAAACATTTCCCCACCCCGGTTATCCCCGATTATCCAGGTCTTCGGGGATTGGCGCTCCGATGCGTATACATACATACATACATACATACATACATAAACTTTATTAAAGTGTCAAGGTATTCAGCTAAAAGCTAATTGTCGACACTGAAATAAATGTTATTTGGATATCTCTATGGCCCTTAGGCCCCGTTTACAAGGAGGGAGGGTCACCCTCTTGCTAGGAGGGTCACCCTAGCACTCGCACATTTTTTCGTTTTTTACATGACGTGTTTACAAGGCAGGTAGGGTTACTCTAGTGCTAGGGTAACCCTACCTGAGTGGTAGGGTTACCCTAGTAAGAGGGTTACCCTGCATGTACCTGCCTTGCCAAACAATCAGTGTCTCAGTGTCATTTATGTGTAGTATTCAGTTTACAAAGAAAATTGTGTTGTTTTTAGGTACTAAAAATAGCTAATTTTCTGAGTTCACAGACGGTAACCTTTTGATCTCCTATTACTAGTGCAATGTCCAGTACATTGTTACCCAGTGATTTTACTCTGATTGTACAGTTCTATCATTGTCAGTGTTCATGTCGGATGCTAGATTTATGGTGTTATTAATATTAATATTATTATTATTATTATTATTATTATTATTATTATTATTATTATTGTTTATGGTGTTATTTGTGTATGACAGTTTAGGGACCACAGAATGGAATTGGAATAGGGGGCTATACGACAAATATGTACATGAGGCATTGTTTTGCCACAACCATCAAATACAACAATAGTATGAAAACATATTTGCTCTAGTGGCCACCACACCACTGTATTGACCGAGTTAGCAAATTTGTTAGTAAATGTGATGATTACAGTTGGAGAAGGTAGACAATATTACTAAAGAATTTGAGATTAAATCAAGGCATTAAGGCCCAATAATCTTAAAGAAACAACTAACATAAATTTGTGAAACTGTGAAAGGTTTGAACCTACCTACTCTTAAAATAAATTTTCTGATTTCCTATCTACTCTTGAAATAAGTTTGCTGATTCTTTGGAATAAGGTGTAGAATACTTTTATTTGTTGTGTCTGTTTAAAAAAATTGTCTTTTTAAAATTTTTTTTTGTCTTGTTTTTATCAGGAGCAGTTGAAGAAAATTTTGGAAACAAGAAGATTCCGAAATCTTCAAGAAAAGTTCAATTTTCAGGTTAAGTGTAATATTATAGCTTTGTTGAATGTAAAAGGATATTGCAGAGAATGAGTCAAGACAGCTATAAACTCAGCTGAGTCTTTTTTTGTAAGGATGCACTTGCCAAATGAACAGTTTACATGTGAAAAAAAGAAAACAAACAAACAAACAAGCTGATAGCACATCAGTAATGACATATATTTACCAGCCTCGCAGTGAATTTGATTTACTTACCTATTACTTCCTTAGATGAGTAATGATCTGCTCGTGATATAACTCACTCTCAAATCCATTGTCTAGATTGGTAGGTTGAAGTATATGAAGGGTAGGGAATTTTTCCATTTTGATCTGAAAGAAGGCTTAAAGGGGGGGCTAACCAATTCATTTTAAGTTCTTGTGATTTATTCATTTATTTATGCATCATCTACAGCAGTAAAAAGGGATACAAAGTTCTAAAGTATGCATGTGAATGGGGTACAATAAATTTAAACTTATCAATAGAAGGTTTTCGAAAGGAATGCCTTTTCTGTCACAGTTGGTATATAAAAGGATTAGGGGTCCAACCTCAGGGAGGGGTGGGCCTGCCCATATAAAACTTTGTTGAGTACCTCCCTGCCCGACCCCTGGGGTCAGATAGATCAACTCTGTAATGTGTACATGAGCAAACTCATTTCATTCAGTATTACAAACACAAACCACTATCTTCGATGCTGATGATGAATCCTATGCACAGGATGTCAAATAATAGTCACTGTTACCAATTAACTTAGGTTTTTTATTAGATGACCAATGGTCTTAAATCACTCAACCGTTTACAGCAAAGGAAGTCTTGCGGGCTGAGAAGTTTTACAATTGAATTTGGGCCACTAAAATAGGACACATCTGCTTAACAGCCATCGCATGCCCATAGTCACTTTTCCAGATTGGTTGTCCCAGTTATTTAAGTTTCACTCAATGAGATATCTTTTTGTGTTCCAGGATTCTGACGATAGTGATGAAGACGAAGAACAAAACAGCATTAAGACAGACCATGATCACAAGCAATATGAGTTGACAATGAAGGCCATACGGGAAACACTCCTTAAGAAACCAGATGATTAAAGTCATATCTTCTCCCTCAATGTTAATCAGCAATTTCATAATATTATTTAATTGCGTTGTCATTATTTTCCCTATTTTCTCATTCTATACTTTTTGACAGTTTTATATCTGACAATATTATTGTTCACCACCAATTTCAAGTTATTTAATTGTGTTGTGATTAATTTTCTCTATTTTCTTATTCAATACTCTCTTCACAGATTTATACATAACAATATTATTGTTCACCACCAATTTCAATTATTATTTTATAGTGTTTTTATTATTTTTTCTATTTTCTTATTCGATCTTTGCTCTTTTCACAGATTTAAAGCTGACAATTATGTATTGTGTACCACAAATTTCAAATTATTTAATAATTATTGCATTGAACGGATTACATTGTCGTTATTTTCTTATTCTATTCTTTTTTCATGGCCGCCAATTTATTGTATTGTTATTATTTTCTCTATTTCCTTATTCAATTTTCTTTTCACAGATTTATATCTGACAATATTTATATTGACTTTGAAGAGTCAAGTGTAATTACCTTGTATATTTTATATGGAAACATACTTGGAAGTAAAAGCGGATGTGATAATTGAAGAAAAAAATTGCTAGTCACTGCCACGCGATCAGAAATAACCGCAGTAGAAAACATACATGATGTTAAGAATGAAAGAAAATAAATTTGCAATTTTTATCTAGGTCTGTGTGGTTAGTTTGTGCATGATATATTCAGAAAAAATTATGCCTAGAGTTCTTCAAACCAACACAATGACAATAGCATGTACTATACCGTACTGTATTTTCTGATGTTCTAAATGAAAAGAAAGGCTTTTTAGACTATAAAAATATCAATTTTCAAGGTCGCCATATTTGTGATTTGTCCAAAGGGGCTAACTTATGGTTTTATTCCAAAAAATTGTCATTTTATCTTTCTCTGTTCTTCCTCTAAACAGACCTAGAAATAGTGTTCCTTAGACAGAAAAAGGGCTTTCAAAACTGTAAAGAAGTCGATTTTACAGAGTCGCCATATTTGTGATTTTTCCAAAGGGGTTAACCCATAGTTTTGGTCCAAAAAATTGAAATTTTATCTTTCTCTGTTTTTTAGTCTAAATGGACCTTGAAATAGTGATTGTTTCGTTCAAAATAGAAAGAAAGGCGCCTTTCCAGACTAGAAACATGTTGTTTTTCCAGAGTTGCCGTATTCATAATTTTTCTGAAGGGGTTAACCCATAGTTTTAGCCGAAAAATTGAAATTTTATTTTTCAAGGTTTTTGGTAAAAATGGACCTAGAAGTTATGTTTCTTTTTGTTCTAGATAGAAAGAAAGGGTTTCCAGACTATAAAAATGTCGTTTTTCAAGAATCACCATATTTGTGATTTTTCCAAAGGGGTTAACATATGAGTTTAAATGGCAAATTAAAATTTTATCTTTCTTGGTTTTTGGTAAAAATGCACCTAGAAAACACTAGAAATTGCGTTTGCTTTTGGTCTAAGTTTTTCCCGAATAGTCGTTTTCCCAGAGTCGCCATATTTGTGATTTTTCCAAAAGAGTTGGTTAATCCATGGGTTTAGTCCAAAAATTGAAATTTCATCTGTGTTGATTTTTGGTCTAAATAGACCTAAAAATAGTGTTTGCTGATGTTCCAAATAAAAAGAAAGAGTTTCCAGACTATAGAAATGTCGTTTTCCTAGAATCGCCATATTTGTGGTTTTTCCTGCAAAATTATAAAAAAAGCCGCAAAGAACTATCCTCCACCTCAACCAATGTAAATTTTACTTTCATTTCAAGACATAACATTTACAATATTCTCATCGAAAACTTCGGGTATTTTCTATTACGCCAAAGTTTTCGGAATTTCTGAAATTTTGGTCGAGAAATAAATGGAACGCTTCGTTCCACGTAGAAATTTTCCGCTAGGTAGTTCTCCTTGGCTAGTCGGTCGTATCTGACACAAACGTGCCGTTCATTCCCAAAAATTATCGTTTTCAGTCCTACTTTGCTAACCAGTAATGAAAATTTCGGTCGAAACGCAAATGGATCACTTCTGATTGGATTTTTTGTTTTAATCGAACAGTGTCGTTCCATTTTCTCTTGATAATTCCACTGGCTTCGGACTGTTTGTTTTGGCAAAATGGAAAGTACCCTTGGACTTTTTTGTACCCAAACTCCCACACGTCTCTCTTGGCACCTTGCGCAAAGTACGGTGCGATGATAACGGTTAGCGACAGGGGCTTCGCCCTTAAGCTTCGCCCGCCTTCCTTCCTCTTCCCATGATGCCCCGCGCTTCGCTTGTTTTAGGACGCTTTCCTTTTGTCAGAACTGACCGACTAAACCATTCCCACCTTGAGTATTAACTTTTAATCAAAACTATCCAGCCCGATCAATCAAATCCTAAAATAGTACGTACGAAGGAGATGATTTTTCAGCAAAAACTCTTGGGAAAAGCCTATTTCATTGTCAAAATGACGGGTCCCGATAATCGTCTGGCCGGCCAGTTCTGACTTTTGGAAACCCTTCTTAGTTATTCGTCTCTGGAAGCGCCTGTGAAGGATACACCGGCATGGCGAATTTGAAGAATCATTGAAAAACCTTACTTGCTCCTTCCGTTTCCAAAGGACTTTGATTGTTCGTGTTCAGCGAACTCATCGCTCCAATTACGTTTGATTGTACTGGGTGCACTCGCAAGTTCCTTCCAAAAAAACAACAAAGAGTTCGCCGAAAGTCAGGGAACCTAAAGCTGTAGATGATAAGATTCATGAACGAATTGCTGTAATGAAGAAGTTTGACTGCGCGTATTAGATTCAGGAAAACCGAGAGTTTGTTTGGTCGACACTTTATGCAAAAAAACACGAAGATGTTGAGAACGTGAAAAGGAAGCCAAGTTATCAAAAAAACACCTGTAACTATTGCTAATGTTAGAATAAGTTTCCGCTCTCTTTCAACTGATTCTCGAATATACCTCCGCTTACTTCGCTTGCGAAGCTCGTTTTGACGAGCCCGCACTTTATACCAGACTGCGGTATAAGTAGAGAGCATTACAACAAGAACGAGGGAAAGCGCGATCATCATGTTGTAGAAGAAAATCCTGAATTCCACGATGTTTTTTTGTGTTAGAACGCGCAGTAGGACTTGCAGAGATGAAAGGAGCCAGCACAAGACAACAGCTGCGAAATATGGTAGTTTTCCCGCGGTTCTGTGCCTGTGAGGCCAAAATACTGAAAAAGCACGCTCCAGTCCTATTACTGACAAGCCAAACAGCGAAGCAAAGCCAGTAAGTATATCAATAGCGTCGTAACTTATGTGGAAGCTTGGGGATTGCGCTAGTTTGCTTTGAGGCCATTGAAACACCATGTACATTGGGACAGCAACCGCGCCCACGAGCAGGTCAGCAACTGCTAGGTTGATAAGTAGCATGCTCGTGCGCATGCGTCGTAGTCTTGAGTTCTTAAGAAACACTGCTATAGAGAGTGAATTGCCGATGATGGTAAACACAGCAAGGCAGCTGTAAAGGACAAGCCACGTGACACTCTGGGCAACCATGATGGACTTGGCCGTTTCTGACGGTTAAGAGGAAAGTCAGTACTAGTTGTGATCTACAAAGATGAAGCAAACATATCCTTTAACTAATCAAACATATCCAGTAAATAAATTTGAAAGAATTCTGTATGTAAGTGCTGTATCTGATGCGTATTTTTTATGTGAATAAATCAGGAGGACAGGAACTTTCCTTGTCATTTCCACAGCCATAAGATGTGTTTATTCTCGTGATTAAAAGCCTTTTTAAATAACGAAATGACAAATTTCCCTACCCTTTCATATACTTCGACTCATGGAATCCATATCGTTCCATAACCCTCAAAAAACTTGGTACTCTTTTCAAGCGGAACCTCCCCGTATAGCTCATCATAAGAATTAATCCACCCGAGGCCTACTCTGGGACCTTAAGTCGCCGTAATTTTAGGCGACTTAAGGCGATTTAAGGCGACTTTAGGAAAATTTGGTCAAAATGTTGCGCGACTTAAGGCGACTTTAGGCGATTTAAGGCGACTTTAGAAGAGCAGTTCTTGTCTCTGGATAAAATGTGATATAAGTTTCTTGAACGGTCAATTATCGTTTACAACGCCAGCTAGGAGTCTTAAGATAAACGTTCAATTTGTGCCTGATTTTGAGACGGATTCAAGCAAACGCTTTCGAGCGGTAATTTCAAAAGTTTTTGAGCTTTGACTTGCCGCCATAAACTTTCAGTTAGGAAAGCGTCCTAGCATAACATCGACTCTTTGGAACGAGCAGTTATAGCTCGGTCTAATAAAAAAAGAATTGCCTAGAAATTCTAAGCTGGACCCAACTTTATGCTCAGTTTGATTATGTTCATATCATAGTTATCTCATCGGTGTTCTGAACCTGTACATTTTTCTCCTTCTCAATACCTCTGTTAAATATCCTTCTCTTAGGTGAGCTGTAGTAAATTATAAAAAAATAAATGAAATAGAAAATTCACTTCATGTTTTTCTTCATCCTAAAACTCGCAAATATTATAGACAGTTCTCTTAGTTATACCTACCAATTAAAAAAAGTGACAAGTAACCTCGAAAATGCAATAACAAGAAGTTCCCCTTCTTAATACTGGCTCCTTTTCTCTTGGTGGGGAACTGCGGAATCAGTCTTTAATAAAGTGAGGAATTTTGAAGTAGTTCTTAAGTGCTCACCACCTTCAGGCAATTTAAGCCCAGGTTTCGAATGGTTATTTCGTCTCCTAAGGCACGAGGGCAATTGTCGTCTTAATGCCGTTGACTATTTGAATTACAGAAAGTGAGGGAGACCGCCTGACTGACGCAAGAGAACGTCAACAATTAATAATGGCAATGTCATGCTTACAATAATTATAGTAGCAGATGAAATACTAACTGTCGGCTTAAATAACGATTACATGAAACTGCCCACGTTGGAGATCCCTAAAGAAAAAAATTACGGCTTTTATTTCATGGTATGAGGCCAGCGCGGCAGAACTATAGTACAAATCCTGCGGCGATGTCATTGGCCACACGCGGCCATGAACTAATAAATTGTAGCTATTTCCGCAGCGGGCTTTTCTTTGGCAAGAAAACCATAGGAAAAACTACAAAACAAAACAAAAAAAACTAAGAAACTAAGAAACTAAGAAACTAAGAAACATAGTACGAAAAAATGATCAGTAAACAAGGACAATGAAGGCTTCGTAACCAATAAACCAATATACTTTCCAAAAGTGAAATGCAACTAACAAATTGTTACTTTGGCCATGTTATTCTTTCCCGTTAATTTTTTTGGGCCCATTATAGTCTTGACCTCCCATTTGGTCAATAATACATTTCTACTGATAACTCAATTAGTTCTTAGAAGGCAGCATGTCAGTTATCCACGGAAATCAATTATTTTTTAGGCCTCGAGTCACTATGAGANCAGCGCGGCAGAACTATAGTACAAATCCTGCGGCGATGTCATTGGCCACACGCGGCCATGAACTAATAAATTGTAGCTATTTCCGCAGCGGGCTTTTCTTTGGCAAGAAAACCATAGGAAAAACTACAAAACAAAACAAAAAAAACTAAGAAACTAAGAAACTAAGAAACTAAGAAACATAGTACGAAAAAATGATCAGTAAACAAGGACAATGAAGGCTTCGTAACCAATAAACCAATATACTTTCCAAAAGTGAAATGCAACTAACAAATTGTTACTTTGGCCATGTTATTCTTTCCCGTTAATTTTTTTGGGCCCATTATAGTCTTGACCTCCCATTTGGTCAATAATACATTTCTACTGATAACTCAATTAGTTCTTAGAAGGCAGCATGTCAGTTATCCACGGAAATCAATTATTTTTTAGGCCTCGAGTCACTATGAGATAATCTGAGAGATCTGTTCTCAAAATATTTAGCATGAAATAGATCGTATGCGTCTTGCTGGGCACGATATTCACCAGATAAACTGTAAAGTAGAACAAAGACGTTTATATTTGTGTTCTCTGCTCGGATTCTAAAATTTTCATTTGTTTTGTAATTTATTTTGAGTTTTTCTTTTGACCTAACGAATCGATGTTCCTTAAAACTTGATTTATTTCTCCAGCACTAGGACATTAAGATTCCTAGACCCAACAACGCATTGCCTTCACAACAGCAAAGACAGCAAAGTCGCTTTTTTCCGACAAAAAGTACATTATTTCAGTCACAAAGTTAAAAAAAAGTGCTCTGTTTTGACACAATTGTCGTGAGAATAATCTTTCTTTAAACGAATGCTTCTTTTGATTTACAATGACGGACAGTCTGACATTTTTTAAAATGTCACATTATTTTAAAAATCTGATTCTGAGAAACCTTCTAATATCAAACTCTTGTTTTTTTAGTCTTAAACGATGACAGCAGTAATCTGATGAGAATTCATTGTCCTTGTCTGTCAAAGTAAAAGTATTTATCATATCCCTTTATGATCACGGACGAGGTAAAAAACCATTTGAATACAAGTTTCTTGGTTGGAGACAAATGGTTTTGGTTTTCTGTTTAGTGTTTAGTGCTTTTCTGAGTATGTGCTTGGGGATGAGTGTTTGGAAAACCACAGTGAAACCTTCCCGGCCTTAAGTTAAAGCAAATACTCAAATATTCGAGAACTTTTTACAGACCAGAAAAAGAAAATGAACACAAAATTAATAAACCCTGCTAGAAAACTCGTTGTTGGGACGGAAATTAGGGACCTTAAAACCAAACAAAAACTTTTGCCCTTGGCGAGATTGAAATCGAAACTGCCGCCAAACTTGTGATTTGCGTTGTTTGCACTGTTTAATAAACGTGTTCAGAGATTGCGGCTGCGGGCTTTTCCCTTCCCATGATTCCCTTCGCGTCGTTCGTCTTAACGAGCTTGAGGAGGCTAGAACTGAATGCTGTTTCTTTTGTTTTGCGCTAATTTCCACAAAATATTTCTTGATAAGTGCATAAGCAACAACCCCTTCTTTGTCAGTTGCCTGGTGCTGATTGCAAACGCAAATTCAAATATTATCCAGCAAAGTCAGGTTTTGTAACTCTGGCATGCTTGCAGTTGCACACAGCGTTTTCCTCGATGAATTAGGTGGGGGAGTTCTTAAGTCGCTCTTTGGTCAAAATATATAAGAACTATATATTTAAAAAAAAGCAAAAAAAAAAATAATGTAAAAAAACTAACTGCTCCGAATTAGGAAATGATTCAAAATCAAGTGACTTCTTAAAGATAGTAAGCGACAACCTGAATCAGTTAGAAGTCTTGTCTAAGGCCACCCCTCTTATTTTTCTCCGTTTAGCGTCGTCCCACCGACCCAAATTTTTGGCATTTTCAAAAAAAAAAAGTGATGATGTAGTTAAACCATTTATCATTTGGAATAATTCTTTTAATCTATCTGAAAAATGATCATAGTAACAGCATAGAAAAAAACAGGAACATTTTTTTACAGCAAATTGTACATTTTGTTACTCCAGTTATGTGAAAGTTGACTTTAAATGTCGTCCCAGGGTACCAGGGCCTCCTATTCCAAGACTTGCTGTGATTTTTCTTAGCCTTTTTTTTCAATCCGACCGACCGACCCAATATCAGGAAATGCATTCGACGCTAAGCGAAAAAAAAAAGGGGGGATGGCCTAAGACAAACTTAAAGGATTTGAAAACGTCGGCGCGACTTGCTCAAGATTAAATCAGTTTCCATCATGGCTATTCATACCTACTATATTATTTGCCACTGATGAAAGAGGTTCATATAATGTTACTTCGATGAAATGACAACTTCCCTTATTGAGCAGGACAATGGTTAATATTGGTGCAGAAAAATGATTCAAACCTACACTTTTTTCAACGTATGTCGGGTTAACATGTCGAATCACCTTAATCAGACCCTGAAATGAATACTCGTTTGTGAAGACCTTAAAATGCATGCATCTCATTCAAAGCAACTACCGTACGTCCGAAGCCGTGTTATTTTACGAGGATTCCTGTGAAAATTTTGTGTATGTGTGAGGTACTTTTCTAAGTTAGCCCAAAAAAAAAACGCGCGCGAGAGAAGGAGACCCCTCGCGTGTCTCCCTCGCGCTTGCCCGTTCTCTGTTTCGCCCACTACTTCCAACCGCCTGCTACGCAGGCTATTCTAAGTGAAAGTTGTAATCTTGTGGTTTTGTTTGTTCAGTACTATTTTTTTTCGAGATAATTTTTAACAGCTTTAAATCTTTTTGAATCTTCGTCAATCGTCTGGGTCTTTAAAAAGTTGGTATGTATCGATTTTTTACTCAAACCTTCACGGCAATTCCAAGTCCAATTTAGTCTCATACTACCATATTCATTCTGCAGGGTTACCATCTGAATGTCACAATGCTTTCTACTATCGATTTTTGCTGGTGTCAGTAAAGAGTTTACTGAAAATAACACGCGATAATCGTAATCTCGTTTGTAACAAGTTTCTCGCTGTATCGACGCTGTATGCCAAAACGGCATACGTATTTATATATATATGTGTATATGTTGTCTTATCAACTTTTAATTGTATTTAGCG